GAGAGAGAGAGAGAGAGAGAGAGAGAGAGAGAGAGAGAGAGAGAGAGAGAGAGAGAGAGAGAGAGAGAGAGAGAGAGAGAGAGTTTATAATAATGCGCTCCTACTACCAATGTCCCGCCATTATGACCTATGGCAGACAATTCTATGTGTCTGAATTCTATATATTCTGTCAATTACAAAATTAGATAATAATGCGCTCCTACTACCAATGTCCCATCATTATGACCTATGACAGACAATTCTATGTGTCTGAATTCTATACATTTTGTCAATTACTAAATTAGAGCCCTCACAGTGCGCGAAAAAAAAAAATGACACGACAACACAACCGCTCCGGAACCTGAACATTAACCTACAAACGCGCCCCCGTGCATAAAAATTCACACACACACACACACACACACACACACACACACACACACACACACACACACACACACACACACACACACACTTCATTACACACAAACGTATCTTCTCGCACATGGACAAATCACTTCTATGCACACAACTAGTCGCCATGCCTTGTCTTTTTTGCCGCAGGTCTCGCCGAACGTCGGAGCACAATATTGTCATTTATGTTCCCTTTCCTTGGCTTCTCATTGCAGATTACATCCTCCTTTTGCAATGTGACATGCTGGTGTTCCTCTTGTTCTTTCTCATTCTGTCCCACTTCCCCGTCCTCAACACACCCTGATTGCTCACCTGACTGTGTGACGATGTCAATGACAATGTCGTCATCCTTCCTCTTGCGCTTGGGCTGTTGATGCTTGTCGCCAATCGTCGTGGCTCGTTGGAGTTCGTCATCGTCTTTTCCCATTGAGGCCTCAACGTTCTCTTCCATCTGCACACCACCTGGCCGTCCCTCGAGTACGCCGCCTTCGAAATTGAGTCGAAGCATCAAATCAGGTGTGTTCTCTAACAAACTTTCTATCCCCTTCATTTGTGGCACTGACTCTTCCCTCGTCAGCTCAGTTCCTTGCATGGCCATTGGGTCCGTGACCATTTGCGGTTCCGACCCCGTGCAAACCTTGGGAGATTCCATTGTTGCAAAGCGATCCACCTAGTCTTTGTCCTCCCTCCCGTTGCGACGGGGGATGGGACAATTGTTGTTCGGTCTGCATTCTGTCACTTCGTGACTCGTCGCTGTCGCCCACAGATTTGTCTATATCGTTCCTCTCATGAACTTGCTTGTCACTATGAACGAAGCTCGTGAATGGACGTCCCGCTGCACTCGCCGAAGCGTGGCCATCGTCATGTCCCAATTGCTGACTGTTACCAAGACATATTTCACCTTCAAACTCTTGCACCACTTCTCGACTTGGCAATTTCCAAGGGATCCGACCGTGCGACACATTGGATTCAATGTCATAAAAGTTTGCGTTGTACTCCAACATGTTCTGATCTCGCAACTTGTCATAAAGTGCGTCGGCATATGCTCCTTCTGCAAGGCTGTCTGATCCACCGTTCGCCTGCCGCACTTTGATATGAACCTGTTCCTTTGCGATTTCGAAGAACTTGCTCTTCAATACCCGCTTTTGCAATTGCCACTGGCCATCGATGCACACAGCCATGTGCCATTTCCCGTTCCATACGCAGGGCTCGAAGACCTTCGGGTGCCACAATATATGATGCCCCCATTGGTGGTCTTCTGTCTCAACCACCGTCCCAATGTGCTGTATGAAGTGCCGACCTCCGATGAACTCCTTCATGTCCTCTTGAATTGTGTCTCCGGGCATCAGTTTGTCGTCCTCGTTGGGCGGGAGCGCGAATTTGATGGCGTCGACGCCCATTTCGCTAACCTGTGCATTTTCCACCTGGGGGACGTTATATTGCTTCTCTCTTGGGATCTTCGACAGCCCCATGCTTACATACACGTTGTCCAGCTGAGTCAATATCCCAGGGTATCTGACACTGCTTTCCTTGCATTTGGATTGGAGACGAGGCTCTTTTTCACTTAATGAGGCCGCTCGTGCATGCAACCCTTCATTGTTGCTATTCTTGCTTGCATTGGTTGCACCAACTGGCCCCCGGATCTCATTCCCCGCATTCTCTTGCATTCCTTGTTCACACGACCTCTGCTCCCCACCACGAACGCTCTCCCGGCTCGCCACAACACCCGTTTCTATCCTTTCCATTGCCTGATGACCCTTGCCGCTGTCCAACGCCTGTCGAACATCCTGTTGAGCACCCGGTACAGACAGATTTATATCTTCGTCCGATGTCTCCTCCTCGCTGTCGCGCACATCGAAGTGCTCACCCGCATCTAACTCATCGGCGTATGTCTTCGCACGTAGTCTTTCTTCTTGTTTGTTGAACCACAAACACTCACACCGCGCCATGAATATCTCAATCGCACCGTGGTACCCTTGGAGATGTTGGATGACAATCACTTTACGGTGGATATAACCGATGTAGAGAGTCCCTCTTCTTACCAAGCTTGAGGTACATGTCTCTCTCAAGACGCCAAGGAGTTTTGGGTCGTTCGAAATGGCAACGACTTTCTGGCCTGTGGACGTCCAATCGAGCATTGTTGAATTGCTGTCACACGCAACAACATTGTGTCCTGGCCGCAGCACTTCCCAGACTGACCCTGCCTGCACATTCCCGAGCAGCAGCACACCTTCGCCATCCTTTGCAAACCATTTGCACAATTCCTTCACTTTTTTTGGCTCTCTCTCCCAATGCCCGTACACGGCTTTTGTATCGCCCGATATCCCAATATGCTCGTTTGTGCATTGCACAAATAAGTCCTCCTTCACGTTATCGTCGAACCACGTGACATGGTTTCGTGGCTGCACAGTCACCTTCTTGTAGTCGTTGTTCAACGCATGCATGACAACGGTCATGCAGTCCCGAGGTCGCACTGGAAGATTTCCAGCGGGAACAACATATTGGTCCTTCCCTAAATATCTCTCCCACCGACCTGGAATCACTTTGACGTGATCCCAACGAAGCACGTTCTTCAACACAGTTTGCTCGACTCTTAACATCGAGAATATGACGATGACTCAATCCGTGCCACAGAAGGTGTTCATCATCTCCGGCAGCACTGCGAATCTCTCATCTGACCACTCGTGAGGGGCTGTCGACTTGCGCGGGCAAAGGTCCAGGACTGCGAGATGGCAATTGAGCTTCTTAACAGCTCGTGTGATCTCCTCCGATGGTTGAAGCGCCTCGTACGGTGCCGAGCATATCGGAAGAAACGTAGTGTGATCGTTGTTTGCATCCCACATCAAGTACCTCGCATTTGCACTTATGCGCCGCAACTCGTCCCGCAGCTGGTCGATAGCCCCGATGATTTCATGCATGAACACTTTTAGATAATACGGACACTTCGCATATAGTGTCCGCGTCAACTTGAACCCTCCCACCTTGCCCACCTTTGGTTCGTCAATGTCGCCCAGATGTTTTGGCACATCTTTCGCCTTGTGAGCTGGCACCTTCGTCTTGTTTTCCTCCCATTGCTCCTTGGTGAGTCCCGTCGGGGCAAATCTGTCCATTATACGCGAGTAGCCAATGAAAAACTCATCGTTCCACTCATCCTCTTTGCGACCTTCCGTTTTGAAAACCACATAGTTGAAAAGGCGTATCATGTATCTCTCACGCCGAACCTCAACCTGAATATCGTCCATGTTCAACAAGTTTTTGTTGAACGTCCGCCCCGTCGTGACAACCACCTGGCGGTCCAATATCATTTCTAACACCATTTCCTTCTCTCTTGCAGTCAAGTCTCCGAACACCTTTCACGCGTTTTGCGGAGGGTCTCGAACGCAGACGTAATGCCCGTCAGCACTTGCGGTTAACGACCACCTGAAATTTCAGAATGAAATATACTGAAGTGGTCTGAAACCGCTGAAATGGCCTGAAGACACTTCAAGTCATTTCAGAAGTTTCGGGTGGTTTGCAGGATAAGTTTTATGGTTTTTTTTTTGTTTTTTTTTTTTGCCTGTTTTTTCAGCCACTTCAGGTCATTTAAGGAATTTCAGGTGGGGACCTGAAACCGCTGAAGTGGCTGAAGCTTCTGAATGGGGTTTTAGGTCCCCATCCAAATGGTTGGATGGGGGTACCTGAAACCCCTTTCAGAAACTTAAACCATTTCAGGACATTTCAGGAATTTCAGGTGGGGACCTGAAACCGCTGAAGTGGCTGAAGCTTCTGAAAGGGGTTTTAGGTCCCCATCCAAATGGTTGGATGGGGGTACCTGAAACCCCTTTCAAAAGGTTCAGCCACTTCAGGTCATTTCAGGAATTTCAGGTGGGGACCTGAAACCGCTGAAGTGGCTGAAGCTAGCCACTTCAGAACATTTCAGGAATTTCAGGTGGGGACCTGAAACCGCTGAAGTGGCTGAAGCTTCTGAAAGGGGTTTCAGGTACCCCCATCCAAATGGTTGGATGGGGGTACCTGAAACCCCTTTCAAAAGGTTCAGCCACTTCAGGTCATTTCAGGAATTTCAGGTGGGGACCTGAAACCGTTGAAGTGGCTGAAGCTTCTGAAAGGGGTTTCAGGTACCCCTATCCCACCATTTGCAATGGATCAACCTGAAGTGGCTGAACTGCCTGAAGGCGGTTTCAGACAACCCCATGTATAGATCCACACACAATCCGAAAGTGTAGTAACCTAAAGTGGCTGAACTGCCTGAAAGGAGACCTGAAAATATAGGCACCCGTTAACCATCTCTCCCCGTCAGGCGATTTGTTGGACTGGACGAAGTGCACTAGCTCCTTCTTGCCTTTTATTGACAACGCGCATGGACCCGGACCAGGAATGGCCACTTGTTTCCCTTGCTGATCCACCGGAGGCACGCCAGTCTTATCAGGCAAGAGTCCCGCCTCCCACGAGTCTAAAAATCGGGTTAGAAGGTCCCACACTCTTTTGCCAACTGTTGCCAACACAAGATGCGATCTCACTAAATTCGATCAATTCGTGTTGTAGGCCGGCTTAAGTGTTTGCCCTCGCAGTTAAGAGTCAGCAGTGAGCCGGACGGCTCTGCGGATGAATTTCTGATAGTTATCTCTCAAGGTCTTCTTATCCGTTTCCGGCGGTGTGTGTTGCCAATCGCCAGAAGGCATCCCCATGTCAACCCACAAGTCTCTGATATTTTTCACCGACACACGGAAGGAATCCGGGATAGCTCGTGTCTCCCTTGTGTTATCGAAAGTCGAAACGTGAGCATATCCGTCGAGATTGTTATCATCGAAATACACAGCACGTGCACGCCATGAACGCACACCCCACTTCTGCGCAGCCGGCGAATTGGCCGCAACCGGTCGCCGACAAGCCTCCGCCGTGTGTTGTCCACCCACCGCATACCAATGGTACGTGTGCATGTCGTCCGCGTCGAAATGTTCAGGTTTCACACGCACCCACTGTTTTTGACCACGAATAGCCACTTCTGTCACAGGGGCCAATATCCATGTGGCCCTGTCCCACTCTCCCTTCTTCTCTTGCAGTTCCATTGCTCTCATGATGGAAACGACGAGCATTTCATTGAGCGGTCTGACATTGTACTGCACAGGGTCTCCCACGGGGTTTGGCAAAACCTTCGTGCAGTCCACGTAGATCTCTTGAGGTCGTTGCACTGCATTCCCGTCTTTGTCGTACTCGAGGAAGAAACAAGTTGTTATGTCGAAGGCGGGCGGCTCCAGCTTCCCGGCTTTCGTGGTGTGGTCTCTCGGGTCAACCCCAACTCCCTCGTCGCCAGAGTCAGCAACCTCTTTCGTTCCTTCGACTCTAACTTTCTTCTTTGCATTTTTCGCGGGCCGCTCACGCCTCTCTTTCTCGGGTTTCCCCAATTGTCTTTCTAAATGTTGCACGTATGCGGTATGAGACGCGCCCAAACCAAGTATCTCCGCTCGACGTCGCTCACTGTACATTTTTCGTTTGCGCGAGTTCGCGGATGCTTGTGTTCCGGCAACTTCGACGTCCCGGTCCGTTTCCCCACCGCTTTCTTCCTCGTCACTGTCCTCGTCTCTGCCTTTGTTCTTGCTTCCGTGTGGAGTTCTTTCTTCCGCATCTCCCGGATTTTCCTCCTCCTCGCTGCTCTCCCCTTCCGGGTTCTCCTCCTCCTCGCCGTTCTCCCCTTCGTCTCCACCCCCCTCGTCCTCTCTTGCACTGTCGTCCCCAGCGGCCTCGCCGCTCTCCCGCTCATCACCGTCGCCTTCCGTGGCATCGCCCCGCATACTTCCTTCCTCGGCGCCCTGTTCACTCGATTTCCCCTCACGTTCGTCAACCTCGTCATCCCCATCGGGACAGTGGTTGGAAGACGGCACCCCACGGGTGTCCCACTCAGCATTCTCTTCGTCCTTGTTACGCGGTGAAGCCTTTTTCCGATGCTGCGCCCGACGAGAAAAGACTGACGGTGCCTTGGCGGCCTTCGACGATTTTTCCTTTGTGTTCCCCGGTTTGGGAAACCCGTCCTGAGGAGAAGGCGTTCCGGTTGTCACGACGAATACCTTTTCGGTCGGTGCGGTGTTCTTCGTCCTTGTCGAATGCGTTCCACCCTCAGTTCCAACGCCGAGAGCGGATCGCAGCGTACCTTGCTTAGACTCCTAGTGCTTGTGTGTCCTCAAAATGCCCTCCAACACCTCCCTCAAAGTGTCCGCAAACACGAACGGTGTCGACAAATGCACGTTGCTGTCCACCTTGACCTTAAAGCCCGTGACTTTATAGCATGGCGTTTTCTTCAGGAGCTCGATCGGTCCCACCATCTGGACAACCTTCTGTTTCTTCGACCTATCAAACGGAGGCAACGCCACAGCATTCATGCCGTAGCCAGCAAATCCCGACAAATGCAGTGACACTTTCTTGTATTTCCCCGGCAGTTCGACGCCGCCACTATTGAAGCATGTGGTCAAGTGAAAATCGTAGTACCTCTCCTCGCCGGCAAATTTGTCGACGCCAAAACTGTCGATCCCACCGCACACGTAAAAATGTCCGCCATCGTCCTTCATGAATATCACGGGACCACACCCCTGCTGCTTAACCCCGCCGAACCAGTCAAGCGCCCATTCCATCCCACAGAACAATGCCGCTCTGCCAACCACCTTGGGGGTGGACGTCTGCGACGAAGAAGGAACCACATCTACATGCCCACGAGAAAAGAATATGTGATCAGCACAAGCGAGGCAAAGGCCAGCGATGCCCGAGGCCATTTGTCACTCGACACCTGATGGTGCAGACGGCCGATGGCGCAGACGGGGCCACCATCGGCTGTCGCCACGGCGCCCGATGGTGCACACGGGGTGACCATCGGTTGTCGCCGCGACACCCGATGGTGCATAGCAAGAAACATCCGTATGAGAACGGTAGCACACTGGAAGGTTGCTCGGGCAAAGAGGAGGCAGCGCATTGGTCCCAATTGCAAATCATGCTGCAGTCCAAGTGGTGAAGCAAAGAGCAGATAGCACAGCGGATCCAGGAAACCATCCACATGTGCACGCTGCAGTCCATATCACGCTGCAAGCAAAGTGCCCATGGAAAGGTAAGATGGCACAATGCAACCAAATAATCATCCGCATTGGCCCGACCCTCGGGTGGCGAGGCGACGCCCGACCATCAAGTGTCGCGCCGCGGCTAGATGGTCCGGTAGACGGTGCGGACGGCCCGACCATCGGCCGTCGCCGCGACGCCCAGTGGTACAGACGGAGCGACCATCGGGTGTCGCCGCGACACCCGATGGTGAACAACACATTGGGACCCGCTGCTCGGGCAAAGAGGAGGTAGCGCATTGGTCCCAATTGCAAATCACACTGCAGTCCAAGCGGGCAAGCAAATAGTAGATAGCATTGGTCCCATCCACAAGTCGTCAAACACGCATTGGTCCCATCCACAAGTCGTCAAACAAAGAGCAGACAACAAAGAGCAGATTGCAAAGAGCAGATCGCACAGTGGAACTAAGAAAGCATCCAAATGTGAACGAAGTGCAGATATCCAACTGTGGAACCAAGAAACCATCCATAAGTCGGCAAGCGAAGAGCAGATAGCAAAGAACAGATTGCACAGTGGAACCAGGAAAGCATCCACATGTGGACGAAGTGCAGATAACACAATGGTTACAAGTCCTCAAGCGAATAGCAGATAGCGTACAACAGATTGCATAGTGGAACCAGGAAAGCATCCACATGTGAACGAAGTGCAGATAAGCAAAGTGCAGATAGCACAGAGCAGATAGCACATGAGAAATCCAAAGTGCATAGCACGCTGCAGGTCAAGCGCCCATGGGAAGATAAGATGGCACAGTGCAACCAAGCAACCATTTGCGTTCACCCGACCCCCGGGCGGCGAGGCGACGCCCGACAATTGGGTGTCGCGCCGGCGCTCGATGGTCCGGTCGACGGTGCGGACGGCCCGACCATCGGCCGTCGCCGCGACGCCCGGTGGTACAGACAGGGCGACCATCGGGTGTCGCCACGACACCCGACGGTGTATAGCACATCGGGATCTGCTGCTTGGGCAGAGAGGAGGTAGCGCATTGGTCCCAATTGCAAATCACGCTGCAGTCCAAGCGGGCAAGCAAAGAGTAGATAGCATTGGTCCCAACCACAAGTCGTCAAACAAAGAGCAGATGGCAAAGAGCAGATTGCACATTGGCTCCAAGTCCTCAATCAAAGAGCAGATAGCACATTGGTTCAGAGTCGTCGATCAAAGAGCAGACAACACGTTGGTTCCAAGTCGTCAAACAAAGAACAGATAGCAAAGAGCAGATCGCACAGTGGAACGAAGAAAGCATCCAAATGTGAACGAAGTGCAGATATCCAACTGTGGAACCAAGAAACCATCCATAAGTCGTCAAGCAAAGAGCGGATAGCAAAAAACAGATTGCACAGTGGAACCAGGAAAGCATCCACATGTGGACGAAGTGCAGATAGCACATTGGTTCCAAGTCATCAAGCGAATAGCAGATAGCGTGCAGCAGATTGTATAGTGGAACCAGGAAAGCATCCATATGTGAACGAAGTGCAGATAAGCAAAGTGCAGATAACAAAGGAGAAAGCCAAAGTGCTTATCACGCTGCAGGCCAAGCGCCCATGGGAAGATAAGATGGCATAGTGCAACCAAGCAACCATCTGCAATGGCCCGACCCTCGGGCGGCGAGGCGACGCCCAACCATTGGGTGTCGCGCCGGTGCTAGATGGTCCGGTAGACGGTGCGGACAGCCCGACCATCGGCCATCGCCGCGACGCTCGGTGGTACAGACGGGGCGATCATCGGGTGTCGCCGCGACACCCGATGGTGAAGAGGAGGTAGCGCATTGGTCCCAATTGCAAATCACACTGCAGTCCAAGCGGACAAGCAAAGAGTAGATAGCATTGGTCCCATCCACAAGTCGTTAAACACGCATTGGTCCCATCCACAAGTCGTCAAACAAAGAGCAGACAGCAAAGAGCAGATTGCAAAGAGCAGATCGCACAGTGGAACCAAGAAAGCATCCAAATGTGAACGAAGTGCTGATATCCAACTGTGGAACCAAGAAACCATCCATAAGTCGGCAAGCAAAGAGCAGATAGCAAAGAACAGATTGCACAGTGGAACCAGGAAAGCATCCACGTGTGAATGAAGTGCAGATAGCACACTGGTTCCAAGTCCTCAAGCGAATAGCAGATAGCGTACAACAGATTGCATAGTGGAACGAGGAAAGCATCCACATGTGAACGAAGAGCAGATAACCAAAGTGCAGATAGCAAAGAGCAGATAACACATGAGAAATCCAAAGTGCATAGCACGCTGCAGGCCAAGCCCCCATGGGAAGATAAGATGGCACAGTGCAACCAAGGAACCATCTGCATTCGCCCGACCCCCGGGCGGCGAGGCGACGCCCGACAATCGGGTGTCGCGCCGACGCTCGATGGTCCCAATTGCAAATCACGCTGCAGTCCAAGCGGGCAAACAAAGAGTAGATAGCATTGCTCCCAACCACAAGTCGTCAAACACGCATCGGTCCCATCCAGAAGTCGTCAAACAAAGAGCAGACAGCAAAGAGCAGATTGCAAAGAGCAGATCGCACAGTGGAACCAAGAAAGCATCCAAATGTGAATGAAGTGCAGTTATCCAACTGTGGACCCAAGAAACCGTCCATAAGTCGGCAAGCAAAGAGTCGATTGCAAAGAACAGATTGCACAGTGGAACCAGGAAAGCATCCACATGTGGACGAAGTGCAGATAGCACACTGGTTCCAAGTCCTCAAGCGAATAGCAGATAGCGTACAGCAGATTGCATGGTGGAACCAGGAAAGCATCCACATGTGAACGAAGTGCAGATAAGCAAAGTGCAGATAGCAAAGAGCAGATAGCACATGAGAAATCCAAAGTGCATAACACGCTGCAGGCCAAGCGCCCATGGGAAAATAAGATGGCACAGTGCAACCAAGCAACCATCTGCGTTCGCCCGACCCCCGGGCGGCGAGGCGACGCCCGACAATCGGGTGTCGCGCCGACACTCGATGGTCCGGTCGATGGTGCGGACAACCCGACCATCGGCCATCGCCTCGACGCCCGGTTGTACAGACGGGGCGACCATCGGGTGTCGCCGCGACACCCGACGGTGTACAGCACATCGGGATCTGTTGCTTGGGCAGAGAGTAGGTAGCGCATTGGTCCCAATTGCACTGCAGCGGGCAAGCAAAGAGTAGATAGCATTGGTCCCAACCACAAGTCGTCAAACAAAGAGCAGATGGCAAAGACCAGATGGCAAGGACCAGATTGCACATTGGCTCCAAGTCGTCAATCAAAGAGCAGATAGCACATTGGTTTCAAGTCGTCGATCAAAGAGCAGACTACACGTTGGTTCCAAGTCGTCAAACAAAGAGCAGATAGCTAAGAGCAGATCGCACAGTGGAACCAAGAAAGCATCTGAATGTGAACGAAGTGCAGATATCCAACTGTGGAACCAAGAAACCATCCATAAGTCGTCAAGCAAAGAGCAAATAGCAAAAAACAGATTGCAGAGTGGAACCAGGAAAGCATCCACATGTGGACGAAGTGCAGATAGCACATTGGTTCCAAGTCGTCAAGCGAATAACAGATAGCGTACAGCAGATTGCATAGTGGAACCAGGAAAGCATCCATATGGTACAAGTCACCGCGACACCCGATGGTGAACAGCACATCGGGACCCCCTGTTCGGACAAAGACGAGGTAGCGCATTGGTCCCAATTGCAAATCACTCTGCAGTCCAAGCGGGCAAGCAAAGAGTAGATAGCATTGGTCCCAATTGCAAATGACGGGGCGTCCGTCGGGTGTCGCCGTGGCGCCCGATGACACAGACGGGACAACCATCGGGTGTCGCCGAGGCGCCCGATGACACAGACGGGACGCCCATCGGGTGTCGCCTAGAGGCCCGATGTTGCACAGCAAGGAGCATTTCATGCCTCCTCTCTGCACGAGCGGCGGGTTGCGATGCGCTGCATACCATCGGGTGCCTCGGTGACACCCGATGGTCGCCCCGTCTGTGTCATCAGGCGTCGCGGCGACACCCGATGGTCGCCCCGTCTGTATCATCGTGCGTCGCGGCGACACCCGATGTTGCACAGCAAGAAACACTTCGTGCCTCCTCTCTGTCCGAGCAGCGGGTCCCGATGTGCTGCAAACCATCAGGTGTCGTGGCAACACCCGATGGTCGCACCGTCTGCAAGATCGGGTGTCGAGGCGACGCCCGACCATCGGGTGTCGAAGCGACGCCCTACCATCGGGTGTTGATGCAACGCCCGACCATGGGTTGTTGGTGCGACGCCCGACCATCGGGTGTTCATGCGACACCCGACCATCGGGTGTTGAACCGCCGGGAAACCATCGGATGTCGAACCGCCCGACCATCGGTTGTTGATGCAACGCCCGACCATCGGTTGTTGATGCGACGCCCGACCATCGGGTGTCGCGGTGATGCCCGAGGATCAGGTAACAGCGCCCCGTAGCATCCCCCATCGCCACTGCAGTGCGAGGGAAACCATCGAAACAGCAGGCGAGTGACAGCTATTACGTATTACCAATGAACAAAAAAAAAAAAAGGCGCGAAAGAGCGAGTCAGCGGCCGGTTACCGGTCACTGAGCAAAAGACACACACATGTCTCACAATGTCGCACTCCCTCCTGCTCGCCATCTTCCACTGTCTGTTGTTCTGTTAAATCGATCAATCAATCAATCAATCAATCAATCAATCAATCAATCAATCAAAACGAACTGCCTAATCGAACAAATCCAAATGATATGTGTATACTCCTCCTCGGTATCCTCCTCCTCCTCCTCGCCATCCTCCTCCTTGCCATCCTCCTCCTTGCCATCCTCCTCCTTGCCATCCTCCTTTCGATATGTGTATACATATCGAAAAGCGGAAGAGAAGGAGTGGCTCATCGGCCTCCCCCTCGCCATCCTCCTCCTCCTCCTCCTCCTCCTCCTCCTTCTCCTCCTCCTTCTCCTCCTCTTTGCCCTCTCCCTCCTACTCGCCATCCTCCACTGTTTGGTGTTCTGTTAAATCGATCAGTCAATCAATCAATCAATCAATTAATCAATCAATCAAAAATAATGAACTGCCTACTCGAACAAATCGAAACGATTGGATCTTGGAAAACAAGATCCGTTCGAACCGATTCGCTGATCCAGACGAAAAAAAAAAAATGTGCACGCGAAAGAATCGAACCGGTTGGATCTTCAAAATCAAGATCCATTTTTCGAAAACAAGATCCGTTCTCTTCTTCGACTTCATTCTCCACCTTCCCCACCTCCTCCTCCTACTCCTCCTCCTCCTCCTCCTCCTCCTCCTCGCCATCCTCCTCCTCCTCCTCGCCATCCTCCTTTCGATATGTGTATACATATCGAAAAGCGGAAGACAAGGAGTGGCTCATCGGTCTCCTCCTCGCCATCCTCCTGCTCCTCCTCCTCCTCCTCCTTCTCCTCCTCGTTGCCCTCTCCCTCCTACTCGCCATCCTCCACCGTTTGTTGTTCTGTTAAATCGATCAGTCAATCAATCAATCAATCAATCAATCAATCAATCAATCAATCAATCAAAATGAACTGCCTAATCGAACAAATCCAAACGATTGGATCTTGGAAAATGAGATCCATTCGAATCAATTCGCTGATCCAAACGAACAAAAGATGTGTGTGCGCGAAAGAATCGAACCGATTGGATCTGCAAAATCAAGATCCATTTTTCGAAAAAAAAAACAGGAACCAGAAAAAAAAAAAACTTAGAACCAAAAATACAAAGTGTCTAATTCAAGAAATTGATTCAACTCGTTAGCAATGAGCAGCTGGCACATCACAATTCGAAAAAACTTGCCATCCTCCTCCGTTTGCATGCTTGTCTATTCCGTTTTTATTTTTTGTTTCGTGATTTGCAAAGAAAGCGTATGCATTCTTAGTTCGGAAATCCAAATTGCGATTCACGCTGAAGTCCAAGTACGCAAAAAAACAGCAGATAGCACATTGCAACCCGGACCCCCTTCTGCCGCCTCCGTTTTTTGTTTTGTTTAATCAATCAATCAGTCAATCAATCAATCAATCAATCAATCAATCAATCAATCAATCAATCAATCAATCAATCAATCAACCATTCAACCAAAAACATTGAACTGCCTAATCGAACAAATCGAAACGATTGGATCTTGGAAAACAAGATCCATTCGAACCGATTCGAGATCCAAACAAAACAAAGTTGTGCCACGCGAACGACTACAACCGATTCGATCTTTAAAATCAAGATCTGTTTTTTGAAAAAAACAGGAACTTTAAAAAAAAAATTTCCGCCACGCGAACAACTACAATCGATTCGAGATCCAAACGAAACAAAGTTGTGCCACACGAACCGGTTGGATCTTCAAAATCAAGATCCATTTTCCGAAACCAAGATCCGTTCTCTTCTTCGACTTCGTTCTCCACCTTCCCCACCTCCTCCTCCTCCTCCTCCTCCTTCTCCTCCTCGTTACCCTCTCCCTCCTACTCGCAATCCTCCACCGTTTGTTGTTCTGTTAGATCGATCAGTCAATCAATCAACCAATCAATCAATCAATCAATCAATCAATCAATCAATCAACCGAACAAACCGGTTGGATCTTCAAAATCAAGATCCATTTTTCGAAAGCAAGATCCGTTCTCTTCTTCGACTTCGTTCTCCACCTTCCCCACCTCCTCCTCCTCCTCGCCATCCTCCTCCTCCTCCTCGCCATCCTCCTCCTCCTCCTCGCCATCCTCCTTTCGATATGTGTATACATATCGAAAAGCGGAAGACAAGGAGTGGCTCATCGGTCTCCTCCTCGCCATCCTCCTGCTCCTCCTCCTCCTCCTCCTTCTCCTCCTCGTTGCCCTCTCCCTCCTACTCGCCATCCTCCACCGTTTGTTGTTCTGTTAAATCGATCAGTCAATCAATCAATCAATCAAACAAACAAAATGAACTGCCTACTCGAACAAATCGAAACGATTGGATCTTGGAAAACAAGATCCATTCGAACCGATTCGCTGATCCAGACGGAAAAAAAAATGTGTGTACGCGAAAGAATCGAACCGGTTGGATCTTCAAAATCAAGATCCATTTTCCGAAAACAAGATCCATTCGAACCCAATCGTTGATTGCATGCTTATCTTCTCCTTGTGGGCAGGCAAGCCTTGAACCCCCTTCTACCGCCTTCTCCATTTTCCGAAAACAAGATTCATTCGAACCCAATCGTTGAAGTCCTAGTGGACAGGCAAAGAGCACATAACACGTTTCAACCGCGAACCCATCCATATGACAACAACGCAGTAGAACCGTGGGTCGCTGTGCGATCCTGCCCTGAACCCCCTTCTACCGCCTCCTCCTCTGCTGCTCCTCCTCGTCCTCCCTCTGCCCCTTATCCTTCTCCGCGTCCGTTTCTGCCTCCTCCCCCTCGTCATCCTCGTTCTCTTCTTCGATTTCGTTCTCCACCTTCCCCACCTCCTCCTCCTCCTCCTCCTCCTCCTCCTCCTCGTCATCCTCCACCTGTTGTGCACAACGTGCGCAGGGCAGAAGAGAACGTTGCAATTACGCAGGGTGGACAGGTCGGCAGATCCTAGACAGGAGGAGGACGAAGAATAAAAACAGCAACAAGACGAGGAGGAGGAGGAAGAGGACGAGGAGGAGGAGGAGGAAGAGGAGCACCAGCAACAACAAGACGTGGAGGAGGAAGAGGACGAGGAGGAGGAAGAGGAAGAGGAAAAGGAGGAGAATGAGGAAGAGGAGGAGGAGGAGGAGGAAGAAGAAGAAGAACAACAAAAAGACGAGGAGGAGGAGGAAGAGGAGGAGGAGGAGGAGTAGGAGGAAGAAGAAGAACAACAACAAGACGAGGAGGAGGAGGAGGAAGAGGAGGARGAGGAAGAGCAGGAGGAGGAGGACGAGGAAGAGGAGGAGGAGGAGAATAACAACACCTTTGTTTGCCATGGAGGACTGTCGAGAATGTGCCCCCGGTGAGTGGTCCCGTCGACACGACGAGTTGGCAGATTCGGAAGCAGGCACAATCGCGCGAATGGCAATGGCAGACAACGTGCGAGGTTCGGACTGCAGTGTTGCCATCACCACACTGGAGTACCAATGGAACATCTGCCCGCGACACCACAGTGGAAGCGACGCTGCATTCGCGCGAGTGGCAATGGCAGGCGACGTGCGAGGTTCGGACTGCAGTGTTGCCGTCACCACACTGGAGTGCCAATGGAACAGCTGCCCGCGACACCACAGTGGAAACGACGCTGCATTTGCGGGTTTCGTTTTCCTCCCGAGACTTTCGGGAAAATATTGTATAGAATCGGATCGGGCCCGACCCTGAAAAAAGGCAAACGAGGGGGGAAAACCAATAGAGGCTCCCTCTCCCCCCCCCACCCCCCCACCCCACACACATCTATAGCAAAGCATTGCGCCCGACGGGGTGCGGGTCGGCCCCCTTTTTTTATGGGAACATTTTTTAGGCCCCTTCAAAAACAGACCCGTGTCCCTGCAGGTGGGACAACCGGGAGGTGGGCAGTGCAAGGTGGAAAAAAGTTGACATACGACTACAGTTAAAAAAAAAAAAAAAAAGGCTTCCTCCTTTTTGCTGCCTGGGACTGGCCATTTTCTTCGTTCGCCCCTTTCAAATCTGTTTGACGTGAAAAAAAAAAGTGGCGGACGCCTGGACCTCGTCTTTCCTCTATCCCCCTCGTCATCCTCTTCGTGCGTTGTGTCCATCGCCCGCGCCTCCGTCTCACCCGCCTCGTGCAGTGCTCTTCCGCCACTCCACCGTGGGCAAGACGAACTGAAGGGTTCGTATTCGTGCGTCGTCTCCATCGCCCGAGCGTCCGTGTCACCCGCCTCGTGCACTGCGCTCCCGCCACTCCATCCCAGAACTGCAGCTTTTCCTAGGTTGTTGTCTCGCCCGACGCAGGGAACTACAGGCTGATAGGTGAGTACGACAATGTTTTTTTTTTTTTTTTTTTTTCCCAGACATGCCTTTGTTCAACTCATGCGTTCACGCCGACTTTGTCGTCTGTAATATGACCAACCCCCTTTCAACTTCTTCATTTTCTTTGTTTTTTTTTTTTTGTTTTTTTTTTTTCTATGACTATATGCTTTTGTGGTGATTGGGAAGTTCATACTATGGCCAACCCGCCTCGTGCACTGCAGCTTTCGAGTTCTGCAAAAAGTTTCGCCGCTGCTTGGCCATATGCTTTCGTGGTGACTAGAAAGTTCGTTCTTTTCTTCTTTGGCTAGAGGTTTCCTTTCAGTCATTTCATTTCGGCGGATTTCGTGGTCGTTCTTTATAAACGTTTTCACTTTTCCGTTCGAGATTTTTTTTTTTTTTTTTTTTTTTTTTTTTTTTTTTTTTTTTT